CATGGCTTGATGAATGGTATGTAGTTCTGTGCCCAGGATCTGAACCCATGAGCCCCAGGCCACCGAACCACTATGCCACCAGGCTGGCCCCTATTTTAGGATTTTCTGTTACTTGCAGCTAGCAATGTTAAAAATATTATAGCTCGTAATAGTTGCCAAGTTCTTCACTAGGCCTCTGAGAAATAGAAGAGGAAGTTGTGGTACCCATGGCTTCCTTCTTAGTAGAGAAGTAAGACATACATGAGTGAAACGGGAAGCAGTGGAGGAGAATGCACAGGGACCACGTCTTTGGAGCTCAGGGGGCCAGTGTTCAGGTATCCTCAGACTTTTGGATGATTGCAAACAACTGAATTTGATAACTTTAACCATTTAAACTTTCCCTGTATTTTATATTTGGAAACTGACAGTTGGGGAGTTTGAGTGACTTTTGCAGAGTCACACAATGGAGCTGGGGTGGAGCTGGGTTTCTAACCAAAGTTTTTCCAGCTTCTCATCACCATGCGCACTGCTCCTCCCAGTGTCGTCAAGTCACCTAATTGAGACTTAGGAGTCTATGTCACTTAACCTCTTAGTTTTTTCATAAAAATGGAATATTCTTTCCAGTACCTAATGCAGTATTATCAGCTATAATCACCGTGTTGTACATTAGATACCCAGACTGTGCTCATCTTATGACTGAAGTTCGTACCCTGTGACCAACATCTTCCCATGTCTCCTACCTCCCAGCGCCTGATAACCAGCGCTCTATTCTTTCTTTCTGGCTTGCGCTTTTTCAGATTCCATTTGTAAATGATGTCATACAGTATTTGTATTTTCTTGTCTGACTTATTTCACTTGACATAATGGTCTCAATTTCATCCAAATTGTTGCAAAAAAATAAACAGTAATTACGTGCCAGGATGGAGATGTTAGCTAATGCTATGGTGGGAATCACTTTGCAACATATAAATGTATCAAATCAACACGTTCTACACTTTAAACTAATACAATGTTGTATGTCAATTATATTTCAATAAAGCTGGAAAAATTCAAAACATAAAAAGTCTCTTGTGCAAACTTAATAAGGATTCCTTTTAACAGTTTAAAGCTGAAGAAACAGGGGTATTGTTAGCACCAATTTACTCTGTCAGTAAAGGACCTGGGTATGACATTTGTTCCTTCATTTGTTCATTGAATCAAGCTTTCATTCATTCCTTCACTGTCCACTGAGACGTTATGAGATAGGTACTGTTTTTTCTCCATTTTACTGGTGAGGAAACTGAGGCGCGAGGAGGTTAAGTAGTTGCCCCAGTGTCAGACAGCCCATGAGCTGCAGAGCTGGAATTTGAATTCCGTCTGTCTGCCAGGAGAGCCGCAGCCTCTGCGCTTCCCTGCTCGCCAGCGGGACGGGGGGTGGCACCCTGCCGTGGTCCTCTCCAGGCTCCCATGGAGCAACTTGGTGATGTAGGTACGCTCTGTCGGACTAGGGAGGAAACAGATTTCCCGAGAGTGAGGACACTACTCAGGGTCACCCAAGGAGTCATCTGCTAAATCACATACAACCCAGATTAGTATCCACATTGGTCAGGCTTCTTCTCATCACTAGTAACAGAAAACCTGACTCAAACTGGCTTGGGTGCAAAAGGGAATATACTGGCTCACGTTACTCATCAGTTCAGAGGCTCCCCAGCTCCAGGTGTAACTCCATCCAGCAGCTCAAGTAGTTTCCTCAGGCTTGCTTCCTCTCCATCCCTCAGCTCTGTTCTCCTCTGTGTCGGCTTCCCTCTCAGGCAGACCCCATTCAAGTGGCAGTCTCTGACAGATCCATGCTCCCATCCTCACAGAAGCAGAAGATGCATTTTTCCCACACTTCATAGCAGTTTCAGTGAAAATCTTGGACCTGGCTCCCTTCCCAAATAGAGTGTGTCACCCATCCCTGAATCAGTCACTCTGGCCAGGAAGTAGGATGTTCTGATTGTCGAGCTCTGGGGCACATGCCCTCTCTGGGGCTGTGAGTGGGATCACCCCCAAACCTCCCAGGGGGACTGAGAGTACAGCTATGACACGGGTGGCAGGATAGGGAGCTAGGTGGGCAAAACTCTAGACACGCCCTGGATCGATCAGGTGCACTGCATACAGCTCACAAGTGGGCCACCTTTGGGGGAGGCCCATGGTTGAGGCCCCTGTCACCATGCAGGGCACACAGGAGGTGCTCAGAAATGCAAATGTGTCTGAGCAGAGAGGACTCTGCTGGTACTGCTTCTGGAGCAGCTTTGTGTAAATCTGAGAGAACGCCTTGGAAAGCAAACTTTTTAATTATGCTGGCCCTTTGGAAGTTGATGTGGGACTTTAAAAATGCAGTTCAGGTGATGAGCTGGCAACCCTGAAACCTGTTTCATAGTATTGCTAAAGAGAAAAGTTATTCATGGGCCACTTGTTAAAAAGGGCAAGACAGATTTTACTCAAAACTGTTGCCGTAGGGGAGAGAGAAACTGAATCACACTGAATACAAGGCTGAGTGGGGATTGATAGCCAAGGAGCAGAGTGAGGGGACGGGGATGGAAAATGACACATGAAGGGCAGGGGCATTCTTGCTAAACTGTCCTACCAGGATCCTTGCTAAAAGTAAGCCGAGGACTGAGATGTCAGGGATAAGGGCAGAGGAATTTGATCAGAAATTGCTGCAGACTGAATGTTTGTGTCCCCAAATTCATATGTTGAAATCCTAACCCCTACTGTGCTGGTTTTAGGAGGTGGGCCCTTGGGAAGTGATTAGGTTAAGAAGGTGGAGCCTCGAGAGTGGGATTAATGTCCTTCCAATGGGATTGCTGACCCCAAGGCTACTTTCCTCCTGCCACCATGTGAGGACACAGTGGCAGGCCCTCACCTGACGCTGAATCTGCCGGCACCTCGATCTTGAACTTCTCAGCCCCCAGAACGGGGAGAAAGGAATTTCTGTTGTTTAAACCCCCAGATGGTGGTATTTTGTTATAGCTGCCCGAATGGACTAAGACAGAAATCAAGGGTGTGAGGATCTTTGATAAACTGGCTCAGGACCTGGAAGGCCAACCTTGAGGCCTAGGGGAGAAGGAGCACAAAGACTCCTTTGTAGTCTGACTGAAGTTTGGTCAAGGAGGGAGTCTCTGCGAGTATTAAAATGGAGACGCTAGAATCCTGCCCTTTCTAATGGAAAGTCCTTTGCGTGTTCTGCTAACTTCATGATTTTGAGTTCTTAGGAACCAGTGTATTTTCAACTAGTGGTTCCCTTATGATGTAGGAAAGTGTCCTGGCCATAAAGCTAGGAAGAAAATTAGAAAAACATTAAAGACTGATTTAATATAGATGAGAATATTGTAAGTTGCAGGCTTGACATTCCTCTATTGAGCACTATTAGTCAAAAGTTGTACTGCATATGGTGCCACAATCTATTTTACTGAAAAAAAAAATACATAGACTCTAGATACGCTAGTGTAATTAAAGCACCCTCTAGTGAATTTTAAAGCATTCCGTTTACACAGTGTGCTTTGCAACTCCCTACACTTGTTACTCAGTCTTTCAAGCATAATAGGCATTTTGGGCTGGAAGTATTTAATCTTGTGTGAATGGGCTTATCAGAATGTCTTGGAAAGACAATATATGACTTCCTGGCAAAGAAATGGCTGCAATGAGGCAGTAATTATGTAGTGTCTTGTTACTATGGTTTTAAAAACTTACCAGGCTAATCCTGTGGTAGGGGGATTCAGAACCGAGTGTTCAGAGCACCATTACATTAGGAGATGGGAGAGTTCTTGGAAGACATTTGTCCAAGACCCATGGGGTCTAGTTCTGGAATCTCTGAGTCCGTCTGTGCTGAGGAATCACTGGCTTTGACAGTGGCCTCTGTGGATGCTGGAGTGTACAGCTGACGTGGTACCCACAGTCCTGGAAAGGGCGATGCTGCTGTTGGCTGTCCGGTGCCCTGGTATGTTTGTTCCTGTTGGAGCCCTGCCTCCTCTAGCTGTTTGAGGGCTGGATTCTCTGTTTTCTTCATGAACAAAGGCAAAGGTACTCAGGGTGGAATTAGGGTCGCTTAGCTTCTTTTGTTACGACTTCTTTTTTTCTTTCTGTTTATTAAGAAGCCACCAGTTATGACAATTCTTTTCAGTAGGAACAGAATGTTCCTGATCTCACCTGATCTCTCAAAAGATATGAAATCAGAATTATTTTGTCCTGAATTTTGGAAATGTCCATCAGAATTACACAGTGACACAGAACCACCTTATAGATAAACAGGACATGCTTTTGAATTAGATCTTAATAATCTGGAGGAAAACGATCAAAGTCAGGATATTATGGCTATTTCAGGGAGATTTGAATCTGAAAGATAATCTTCAGAATCTAAATCTTCACTTTTCATCCAAATCTGGAAATCAAAGATCAGCCTAAAATGGAGAAGCGTAGAGACCTGAAATATCCTTCTGTCCCCAGGAGGAAAGAGCGATGATTTTGAGATGCTAGAACAGGATGGAAATTGGTTTCATGCATTCTTGGTTGGTAGTGGTGCCACTTGAGCATGGTGCGGTCAGTGGGAAATGTTTCTGATTGTTGGCAGGGGCTGTCATGGGAAGAGCTGTCATCCCTCCTGCTTCGGGGCAGTGGGGAAAGTAGAATGGTGGCATCTCCAGCAGGTCGTCCCCAAGAGAGTCTCCACTCCTTTGTGAAGGCAGAATTCAGATCTGGTTACAGTTCAGAGACCTCCTGGGATAGTGGAAATAGCATGGACGTGGGTGTCGATCTAATTCATCCTGGTTCCACCACTTAATTGCCCTTGAGAACCTGGGTGGGTCACTCAACATCTCTGAGCCCAGTTTATCACACGAACTTTGGCAATACTTACAGCTCTTTCCCAGAGTTACAGCCGAGCTTAGAGTACAAAAGCCCCCAGGGACAGAGTTGGCATCTTCAAAGTTACTCTGGGCAGCACTACTGAGGAAAATAAGTAAGCGAATTAAAGTTGGACAGGAAAGATGGATCGCTTCTACTCTTCTGTTCAAATAAGGGACAGGGTTTACTCTGAGTTAGGCAAAGCTTACTTAGGTACACCCAAAGCACGGGTGACAAAAGATAAAAATAGATACATTTGCCTGTGTTAAAATCAAAAACTTTGCTCCCCTCCCCCTTCCCTCCTTCTTCTCCCTTCCTCTCTCTCTCCCTTTGCTCGGGGTAAATGTGCAGACGGTGTCACTTCGCTGTACGTTAGGGTTGCATGTAGGATGTCATTTGAAGAAAGGGTTTTGCTGCTTAAAAACGGTTGAAAGCCACTGGTATACTTCACCGCTGCCAAGGAAACACATTGAGTGGCCTGGAGTCAAGTGACTTCTTTGCGCACAAGAGCAAATTAATGAGGGAGCTGGGGCTAGTCCCCGAGTTCCTTGAACTTCAGCCAGGGCTCTTGCCTCACCTGCCCACTTTAGTGTCAAACACTTCATTCTCCCGGCCTGGTATCTCGGCTCCTTCGTAAACATGTAGAAGTTTACGAAGGAGGCAAATCGTCTTTAGCAGTGACACAATGTGCTGTGGAGCACTGCAGGATTTTCACTTCTCTCTCTCTCTCTCTTTTTTTCTTTCCTGGAAAACCATCATGATTGTCAGCGTGCGTACTGTGCTGAGAAATAACAGGGAGGGTCCCGGGAGAGGAGCAGTTCAGGCGCGTCGTCGCTCCTTACCCTTCTCCCTTTCTCTGTGGTGATGGGGCCGCCAGGACTCCGAGGCTGGTGTTTACTAAAGGCGTGGTTTCATGCAAGTGGGCTTCGGGGAAGCAAGTCCTTTCAGAAGAAAGCCTTATCCTCCAGTTTGAGGGGAAAACAGAGCCCAACTGTGTTGCGACTTCACGCACACTTCGTCTCTCGCAAACACACACACGTGCACACGTGCACACGTGCACACTTCTCTACTCCAAAGAAAACATTCTAATGGCTGAAATAATATTCTGGATTCATCCAAGGGAGTCAGTAATTCCTAAATTGTGAGCAACATGAAGCACTTTTCTAACTTTAAAAGACATCAAAAATAGATCAGGAACAGGCAAAATTAATATTTATGAACTCAATTATATAGAAATGGATTTTTAGCAAGCATGCCAGCTGCCCCAATTTATAAGGTCTCGTTTCTCTGGTTCCTAGGAAATAACTTAAAAATACGTGAAAATAATTCCAATTTAAGTTTGTCATCTATGCTATGTTCTGGCAGAGTTCCTGTAGTTAGTTCAGCTTAAAAGTCAGAGAGGAGAAGGAAGCGCCCCCAGTGCGGACTTAGCAGGACCAGGTGGCCAGTATCAGACAAGTTAGTCTGCGTTCTTCTCCAGCTGATTTGACGCAACTCTGATGCTGACTGGCTTCTTTCTCCTTAAACATCGCTCTCTCTTCATTACCGTCATCTGTCACTGTGAACGTCAGCCAACAGTTTACAAGTCATATCTCTGATAAGAATTGTCCTATCATAAGAATATTGTATTTTTCACTCATTTTGCCCTGCCCCGCCCCCTCCCCAGCACACATACACCCCTGCCAAACAGGCTACAGATGAAAGATTGAGACATGTTAGATCACTATTTTGCAATTATAGCAAAGGCCATTTCAGGCTGATGAAATGGAAAAGAAAATCCATGACAATACCTTCTCTACGTAGCTCATGGTAGTTCCTAACATCCTTTCCCATCCTCTGTGGCATGTGACGTTCCCAACAACCACGTGAGGTTCTCATGGTTACCCCCAAATTCCAAACCTCGGGTGGTGGAATCAGGATCCGTGGTTAGACGAGGTGCAGCCAGAATCCAGGACCTGCCCAAGAACTCGAATGACGCTGACGCCAAATAACAGGGCATTTCACCGTGTGGTTCTTGGATGCGAGCCTGTCTGCGTGTGTTCTGGGCTCGAGGAGAGGGCCGCACACTCTAGCTCCAGCAAACACTGAAATATTGTGTAAATTCCTTGTTTCCTAGAAGACAGTCTATTTTCCACAGTGCCCTGAAGCAGTTAATCAACTCACCCTGAAGGACTGTCAAAGGGTATCCCACAAATTTGGCTTTAGATACATTGTTTTGTGCTTTCTTGAACTCAAGTATAATTTTTCTGGTTGGGATGGAAGAATATAGCAATGTGTTTCTTCGGTTTAATCTTGGGTTTTAAATCGCCCCTTTGACATATGTGTGTCTGTGTGTAGGAAAGAGTCTACACGGCCGGCCGGAGACTGCTGTCTTTACAAAGTCCTTCTTGCAAGGCTGGCTCCTGGCTGAGGTCGGAGAACTTAGATTTGGGGAGAGTTCCCACCATTTGCTAACTGATAAGAGGGGCTTGCTGTGACTAGATCGTACAAAAAAAGATGCTTTCTGTCAAACATATGCTTTCCTTCTGGGAGTCTGACATTTTGCTATGTGCTCAGCAGATGGTGCCTACGTGGCCAGCAGCCAATAGACACTCTTGGCTAATGAGTGTCCTATGGACTTCTTTGGGCGGATATGTCACATGGGTGTTGCTGCATTTTCATCGCTGGGGAAGAGCGTGTTCTTTGTGGCCCTCACAGCAGGGAGAGAATATAGGAAAACAGCACACGATTCCTCCAGACTCCACCTGTGTCTTTTCCCTTATAATCTGGCTGTGTATCCTTCCCACACCACTGGAGTAAATCTTAGCTGTGAAAATAACTATATGCTGGGCCCCCTGAGACCTGCTCATGCCTCTCCAAATGTAGGGCTGGTCTTGGTGACATCAACACAGTTTTATGGAGCAATGGACTCCTACTAGATCATGCTGACGGACTTCAGGATTGACAGCAGCACTGGCCTGGCCTGGGCCCCACAGGCTAGCTGGCAGGTGAAGTGTCTGATGAGTGAGCTTGTATCACACAACTTTGGGGATATTGTCTCTTTTGAAATTATAAGAAATCTTGCTTTAAAAAGCATGTGTCACAACAACAATGTTTTGGGGGTTTTGCCTTCTTTTATTATTAAAAGGAACATGAAGTATTTTATAGTTCTCTATTGCCCAAGTAGGTGATACAAATTGTTGAAACAGGAAAAACACCCCTCGGTAAGCTTTCATTTACCACCTACCCCATGAGCGCCCCTTGGAAAGCAGGAGGCTCCATAGTTCGAGTCCTTTTTCATTTGTGTATATTCCGGAACTGGCTCCTGAAGAGACTCTGTGCTCTGTCACCTCCATCTGCATCCATCAAGACTAAGTTCTACAATTAACGAAGATGGTTTCGTTGAAATGTACCTGGGACACATGGCAGACGCAGCAGTTTCATAAGTCAAGAAACTAGCCCCTTGGCAATCAGCTTTGCTCTGAGACTCTCCTGACCTCTCAAGGATTGGAAAAGTCTGAAATGCAAATGGAGTTAAAGAACCTTGTGGGGATCTGGCCAGATGAATATGGACAGGGTCGCAGAGTCCATAAAAATGTCTGTGTTTCTGTTTCTCTGGCCTGGATGTTACCAGATTTCTTCCCTTAAGCTTGGTTGAAGCTCCACGGGCTCAGAAGCCACGTCTGAGAAGGGGGTGATGCATGAGGTTCCAAAACGTAAAAAGAAAGGTGCTGATGAATCACAAGGATGATAGACCCATGGGAATGCCCATGCTTACTGCCTTTGGTCACTTCTAGAAAATACCTAGATTAGTTCTATGCTGCATTGCCCTGCCTGGCTGAGGCTAAAGAATGGGATCCAAACCTAAATTATCTTAAGGAAATCTGCAAGATATTTACTACCCACTTATATAGTGTTAATGATGTCCCCTAAAATTCACATCCATGTGGAAATTCAGATGTGGTCTTATTTGGAAATAAGATCTTTGCCAATGTATTTAATTGAGGATCTTGAGATGAAATCACCTTGAATTTAGGGCTGTTCCTAAATCCAGTGAAAGATGTCCTTATAAGAAAAGGTGAGGGCACATAGAGACGCAGCGGGAGGAGAAGGCAGTATGACCACAGAGGCAGAGATTGGAGTGATGCTGCCACAAGCAAAGGAACGTCAACACATTCCTGGGGCCACCGGAGGCTGGAAGGGGCAAGGAAGGGTTCTTCCCTGGAGGCTTCGGAGGGAGCATGGCCTTGCTGGCCTCTTGATTTTGGACTTCCGGGCTCCAGAACTGTGAGAAAACACATTTTGTCTGTTTTAAAGCCACCAAGTTTGTGGTACCTTGTTATGTCAGCTCTAGAAAACTAACACAGCATCGCTCAGGTGTCAGACGCTCGAATTAAGATCCATTTTGCACTCTACTCAAAACCTATCAATAAATGTTTCAAGACTTTTTTCTGTAAAAGTGAGTCTCAGGCCATTGTACTTGGCTCTTTTATCTACTAGAAACCTGCTTCCCCAAATTTCCCCAGGCCTGCTCCTCTTCAACGAATGCCATCTCCTTAGAGTCCTTCGTCAACCTGCTTAACTGAAGTAGTCCCTCTGTCCCCTCCTACCTCGTCACTCTATTCTATTTACTAACACTGTTCTCCTCTCCTCATAGTCATGACTATTTTAAATGATTTGTTCCTGATGTGTCTCTGTTCCAGAATATAAATTAGTTAGGGTGGGGCTTGTCTGTTTTGTACCCTACCCTATCCCAGCACCACCCACAAGGCCTGGCGCAGGCAGACATGCAGGTGACATTTGTTGGATGAATGAATAAATGAGTGAATGAATCTCTTGTTTTAATCTGAGCTACAAGGGACACCTAGTCCTTGGGGACCGAAGGAGGAAGTCCCCATCAGCAGCGATCTGCTTCTTGGTTTTGGAGAATCCGTGACACGGCAGGAAAGGACCTCAGCAAAGGGTGGAGGTGGATGGTTGTGGATTTCAGGGCAAAATAATGCTGTCCTGTATTTTCGCCCCGGCAGCTCCTCTGTCAATTTTCTGAAAGAACTTTGTTCAGGTGGACACACGTGATCTCCTTCAGCAAAACTCCCACAAACGAATCCTAGATAGATGGGAGTTTTTCTTGTACTTAACCTTTAGCCTCTGCTCCCTGTGGTTCTGAAGCCCTCGATGGGGCTGAGGCCGTGTTCTAAAGGGAGAACCATGCCTCTCTCTTGGCACCTGGAGGACGGGGAAAGGGGTATGAGCTCATCAGACAGGGGCATGGGACCAGGACTAAGTGAGGACCTCAGGCTCCCAACAGAACCACATTCCAATTGTGTCTCAGCCATCGATGAGCGGTAGGATCTTGTCTTGGTGACTTCCTCTCTCTGGCTGCATTTTCACACATGCAGTCCCTCAGCTAATGTGTACGGGGCCCCTGCCGTGCATGGGGAAGCATTCTAGGTCCAGGGATGTAAAGATGAAGGAAGCACGTCCTTCCTCCCATGGAGAGTGTATTCTTCCAGGGCCCGGGAGCAATGAACAAATGTCTGTGTAGAGAACATGGTCTCTTGAAACCCTTGGGACAATGCATAGCCCAGGCCCAGTGGCCCAGGCTGAGCAGCACACAGCTGCACTGGAGCAAGGTGGAGACGCTGATGAGAGCTGAGGTCCACCTGCTGTGGCCAGCACTTCCCCAGGCAGGCACATCTCCAGTCCTCACCCCTCTACTTCCTAAAGTGGCAGGTGCCTGGCCCAGCCCTGGGAACAGTCTGTCAGGTGTCAGGACTGAGCTTGCCCCTGTGTAGACCTGGGTAGGGTCACTCCCACAGAGATTCTCATATGCTGCTTTATACCCTTGCCACCCAAATCTCTCCCATGGGTGCTTATGGGCCCCTTGGGGAGGATAGTTCTGTGTGGGTTGTGCCCACTGCATCACAGTGGCTTTTAGAGTCCCCTCCATTGGGCTAATTGGTCCCAGAAAGGTCTCTTACTTAGTCACTGAGGTGCAGAAGGGTTAATCACAGTGATCTGGGAGCTGGCTAGGCTGAACGGTAGCCTACACTGCAGTTGACCTCTAGATTCACCACGAAAATTGGCTCTGAAATGGTGTCCAGGGGCCAAGGCTACTTATTAAGTTTTAGTCTGACCAAATTTGCTAGATTTTTTTAAAGCTGCCTCCATGTTCCGTAAGCATTTGAGGGAGATTCCAGCCCATTTCAGAGAAAGCCCACCACCCTCTCTTGTAAGTGGTTCCTGTGTACATTTTGGTTAGAAAGCAAGCCCCGGAGAGGCCACTGCACCCTCCCAGCTGACTTCTAAATGAGGTGAGGGTGACTGGAGCCCTGCCCACCAGAGGGAAACCAGGACAACAGCAGCCCCAACAATAACAGAAACCGGCTGGTCATTGCATCAGACAAGATCCAACCAGGGGACAGTACACAACTTTGCATTTAGAAAGGATAGTGTTCAATGCAGGAAAGCAGCTGCAGGGGTCATTCAACATCCTGGAAGCCAAACAAGGTCAGGGAGACACCCCAGGGTAGAGACAAGTGGCCACAGCCAGGTCGTGAAGAGCATAGATGCGCCACGTAAGGGAGAGCAGGGCGCAGTGGACGTTTTGAATCTGGCTTCGAGGGTGTAGGCAAATGACTAAAAGTCCCCTTTATCCTTTCTTTCCTCCCCTTCACACCTGGGGGCTTCTTGCTGGTGGGGCAGGGGTCCAGGGGTAAAACCAGCCTCCTCTGCACAGGGACCAGCCCCCGGAGTAGGAGCCTGGTTTTTCAATTTGTGGGCATACTGCTTCCAATCCTGCCAACTGGATTTAGGATTGGGGGCTGCTGGGCTGGAGGGTGTGAAAGATACATCTTATGATGAAAACCCCTTCTGTCTCAGGGAAGTCCCTTTGATTTCTCAGCTGATTATGGCCACTCAGAAAGATCACTAGGTGACTTCCTCTTGGCAAACCCCCTCGACCTGTCTCCAAGCACCTCTGCCCCCCAGAGATTGACTGTCTCAGTTTGCTTCATAGCCGCTGTCCAAGGAGACTCCTCCAGCAAACTAGCTCTAGGAACGGACTCTTTACTGCCAGGAAG